GAAATGGGAAAACCAGCTGAACAGACCCAACTGTAGCTCCCACAGGCCACTGCAGAGATAACACGGAGGGTCTGGTCTCTGACCTTCGTGAGATACTGGCAATAAGCATCAGGCTTATATTCACCATTAATCACCAGTTTGCATATACCATCAGGCCAGACACCAGGGGACACCATCCTGCTGCCCAGAAGGTCCCTGAGATGGTCAAATTCACTGCCATCGGCACACACCTGCAGGGGGCACTGTTACTCTTCTCACTCACTTCCCTGGTCCCTGAAGTAGCCAACCAGGTGTCATTTTACCTTAAATCAGAGGTTTAAAGGGCAGAAGGATTAGTTCCAACAGCCTCAGCCAAACTGGGAAGTGGCAGAAGGAGCTAAGGTAGTGTTGCTGCACGGAACATTTAGTCCTAGTTTCGCATAAACAGGCACAAAGACACACGCTCACGTGCTCCTTGGCGTTCCTTAAACCTTTCCCATCGTGTCAAGGAGATATGGATCTCAGGAAGAAAAAATGCTCTTTGTTTATCCTAGGTGTTTCTTTCAGTGGTACCTGGAAGCCTTTGGCAAATATGTTAGAATTATAAACCAGGATGATAAGCCAGTGAGGAGGTTAAAATAACAAGAACTAGTCTTTCAAGGTCCCCTAAGGTACTCAGCAAACCGGTTGTATTCATGGCAAAGTAAAAGAAGCCAAATTGCCCAGGATGTTTGTCTAAGAAAATGATAGTGTGGCCTTTAGTGTATCCAGTGACGGATGTGGACTTGCCAAGGTTTGCTCAGTCCTTGTACAGGGACAGTGGTGGCTGCCGGCTTTATTGTAGAGAGGAAGGGGGCAAATGCTGTCACTAGCACGTTGGCTTTTTTGGTTTGTTTTTCTTTTTTTAAGTATTGTTTTTAAAAATGTGTTGGAAGTATTTCAAGTAGTCAAGAAGGGAAACCAAACTCAGGGAAAGAGAAGACACTGTGCCACAAAGCAACAGAAGACAAATCCTGGGTATTTGTCACAAGGGTGTTGAACAGTAAACAGAGCTAGTTACAATCTTCTCTAAACTGGTGGGAATACTGGGCTGAAAGTATTAAGTAAATCAATGATGCTTCCAAGTTGGTAGTTTCTGTGCTTCTTGTTCTTCTCTGGGCCCGAGTCCACGGTCAGGGTTGCAGCCATCTCCAGGGAGGTTGTACCTTTGCTCTTGGCAGCTCTGCTCAGTGATAAGAACCACGGTGTATGGAGAGCTCTGGACGGGCCAGTGCTCCAAGAGCTTCTCCTGTTTTTTCCATTGCATCTTCACAGCAGCCTGGGAGGTAGCCCTGTACTTTAACACGAAGACATTAAGGTCTCGTGAGGCCTTTCATCAGTAGGTTAACTTACTGAAAGTTCAAGTGGCCATCATTAACTGAAAATCCAAAGCTAGTAAGTGATGGCACTAGGGTTGAAACCTGGGAAGTCTGTGTCTAGTCTCTGCCAGCTGAGCGATTGTTTTTAACTGTGCCTTCCACACTTTCTCTTCTATCTTGTTGCTCCATGAATTCTGGCCCTCTCGCTCCAGTCTGGGGCCAGGCAGAAGGCGGGGTGGGTGGGCATGATGGTAACAGAGGCTACATAAGAGGCAGATTTTACCTTTGTGCTTCAATTCTCGGTTGACCACGGTGAACCCCCTGCTGGCCACATGTGGGTGATTGGCAGCAGTGCCCAGTGCTGGCTCTGTTGCCAACAACTTCCCGGCATGCAGAGTAGACACAGAATGACCAAGGAAACCCAGAGGAGCAGAGACTCATGTAACTTACCCAATAGCCATCGTTCCCTCTGTGCTTAGAAACAGAATGCAAATTGTATTCCAGCTGGCGATGGGCCCAACCAAAAGGCTACATTTCCCTGCTTCCCTGCCTTCGTCAGCCATGTGACTAAATTGTAAGCAATGAGATTTTGCAGAATTGTTGCTAGAGTCTTTTGGGATTAATGGAAGCTGACTCAACAGGGAGGTGAGTCCTTTTGTCTCCTTCCTCCTTCCTAATGCCTGAGATGCAGCTGCAATGGCTGGCACTCCAACAGCTGGCTTGGACACTGAAGTCATTTACTTTAGGTGGTAATGCTTCTCCAACTGTAATGTGCGTATGAATCACCTGGGAATTTTGTTAAAAATGCAAACTCTGGCCCTATTCGGTTTGGCTCAGTGGATAGAGCATCGGCCTGCGGACTGAAAGGTCCCAGGTTCGATTCCGGTCACAGGCACATGCTGGGGTTGTGAGCTTGATCCCCCCATGCAGGAAGCATCCCATCGGTGATTCCCTCTCATCATTGATGTTTCTATCTCTCTCCCCCTTTCCCTTCCTCTCTGAAATCAATAAAAATATATTTTAAAAAATGCAAACTCTTATTCAGTAGTTCTTGGGCATATTCCCTAGTACTTTTCACTGAGAGAACTTAGGCGCAGTAACCCTCCTAATATATATGAGTACACCTGACACCCAAATCTTGGCTTCTAAAAGCCGTTTGAGAAGAACAACAGCGCCGACTGTCAGTGCCGGCCTTCCTCGTGTAAGGGGATCTCCTGGACCCTTGCTAATTCAATTTTTCCCCCATTCCGGTCCTTCCCTATCACTGCCCACTTCACCTTGGATCATGTTCAAGAAATGTGAAGAAAAAGCCAATGTGTCCAATTGCATCCAGCTGAAAACATCAGTTATAAAGGGTATTAAGAACCAACTAAAAGAGCAATTTCCAGTTATTGAACCATAGCTTAATCAAATCATGCCTAAGAAAGATCCTGTCAAAATAGTGCGATGCCATAAACATATAGAAATCCTTATAGTAAATAGAGAGCTACTATTTTTTAGACAAAGAAAAGGGCTTTTTTATCCAACCCTAAAATGGCTTACAAATATCCCTTTATGGTGCCACACTAGCAGGTTGAAAAGGAGCCATCAAATTTGTACTCGGTGGAGCAAATATCATGTGTCCAAGCTTAACTTCACCTAGAGCTAAACTTGACCCTGCTGCCGCCGCAGATACGATTGTCGCTATCCCAGCAGGAGGAAGACAGCACACTCTGTGTGTCGGAGCCATGCGATGTCTGCAGAAGATACTGAGAAAGTCAACAAAGGAATTGGCATCAGAGATGTCCATTAATTAAATGATGGACGTTGGCATATGAAGACATATTAATGAGCCTCAGGCCCAAGCCGGTTTGGCTCAGTGGATAGAGCATCAGCCCATGGACTGAAGGATCCCAGGTTCAATTCCAGTCAAGGGCATGTACCTTGGTTGCAGGCTTGATCCCCGGCCCCAGGTTGGGGTGCATGTGGGAGGCAACCTTCCTCTCTCTAAAATCAAATTTTTTTAAATAAAGGCCAGAGAAGAAAAGTCACAGGATCATATGACTAGATGTAGAAAAAACATTTGACAAAAACCAACACCCATTCATGATAAAAACTTAGCAGACTAGGAATAAAGGGGAACTTCCTCAACTTGATAAAAATTATTTATAACAGCCCTAATCGGTTTGGGTCAGTGGATAGAGCGTCTGCCTGCGGACTGAAGGGTCCCCGGTTCGATTCTGGTCAAGGGCATGTACCTTGGTTGCAGGCACATTCCCAGTAAGGAGTGTGCAGGAGGCAGCTGATCGATGTTTCTAACTCTCTATCCCTCTCCTTTCCTCTATGTAAAAAAATCAATAAAATATATTTTTTTAAAATTATTTACAACAAACCTACAGCTAACATCATATTTAATGGCAAGAACCTCAAAGCTTTCTCACTAAGAACAGGTACAAGGCAAGAATGTCCCTTCTCACCACTACTTTTCAGCACCATACTGGAAGGCCTTGCTAATGCAATAAGTCAAGAAAAGGAAATGAAAGGTGTATAGGTTAAGAAGGAAGATGTAAAACTATCCTTAGTTACAAATGATGTGATTGTCTATGGAGAAAAAAAATCAACCAAAAACGCCTGGTACTAATAAGCAATTATAGCAAGGTTGTAGAATACAAGGTTAATATACAAAAGTCAACTGCTTTCCTATATACCAATAATGAACAAGTGATATTTGAAATTTAAAATACAATCCATTTACATTGGCTTCCAAAAAAATGAAACATTTAGATAAAAATCTAACAAAATATGTACAAGATTTTTTTAGGAAAACTACAAAATTTCAATGAATAAGATCAAAGAAGAACTAAACAAATGTAAATTCCATGTTCATTTACAAGCAGATATGGTCAATATTGTCAAGATGTCAGTCTACTCAACTTTAAAATACAATCCATTTACATTGGCTTCCAAAAAAATAAAACATTTAGATAAAAATCTAACAAAATATGTACAAGATTTTTTTAGGAAAACTACAAAATTTCAATGAATAAGATCAAAGAAGAACTAAACAAATGTAAATTCCATGTTCATTTACAAGCAGATATGGTCAATATTGTCAAGATGTCAGTCTACTCAACTTGATCTATAGATTCAATGCAATTCAATTAAAATCCCAGCAAGCAATTTTTTGGATGCCAATAAACTAATTGTAAAGTTTATATGGAGAGGCAAAAGACCCAAAATAGCCAACCCAATATTGGAGGCCAGGATGAGGGCCACCCCCCCCTCCCCCCCCGCAGTGCACGAATGTTGTGCACTGGGCCTCTAGTTTTGTTATAAATCTAAAACTGCTCTAAAATAGTCTTTTTGCAAAAGAGAAAATGTAGCAAAATGTAAAATCCTGGTGAATATAAATATGTCAAAATTCTCAATATTTGCAACTTTTCTGTATGTTGAGAATTATTTCAATGAAAAGTAAAAAAACAAAATTATGCCATCTTTCAAGTAATTAGTTTCTAATTTTAGAAATTCATAACCTGAGAAAAAATAGTATTTGATGTTTGAACCACTCATTCAACAAGCATTTATTGAACGCCCACCATGTGCCAAGCATGAAAGCTAGAGAGACTACTCAGTTGGGACCCTACCCTTAATGCCCGTGCAGAGAGATAGGTCTGATTCTAGTACCTGCTTTTCCACTCTGCTGAGTCAGCTCCTCTCTAGGATCCTGAGGTAGATTCCAATGCAAACCCCCCGAGTTGTTATCACTGTCATTGTTGTCACTGCCCTCATAATCCACTTCTTCAAATAGCAAAAATCCTTCCTAACACTGGAGAAAAAGTAAATAAAGAGAAAAAAGTTACATGTAGGTTTGTTGAAAGTCATAAGTAATAGTAATAGCATATACTGCAAGACATTTCATTGTATTAATACACAAATAGTCCACATTTTAAGACTCCCGACTTTTGCAGAGCTTTTGAAGACATTTCCCTTGGTTTGGGAATCAATATGAAAACATCCATTGTGCTGCAGTTATCAATGTTAAATTGCATCTGAGGTTTTGGCTTGTTCCAAAGCACTAAATCAAGTTGTAGATTGCTCATGGCCTTAGCAGAGCAATTGTCACCGAGGCATGCGATACCCCACTTGCAACCTTTTCTGCGATGCAGGGCCTAGACACAAGCCTATTTTTTCATAACAGTCAGCTTGAAAACCCAAGTTTCCATCAACAACAGAATGGATAAATCGTGGTATATTCGTACAATGGAATAGTATACTGCAACAAAAAGGGCAAACTACTGCTACAGACGGCAAGGATAGATCTCACAGACTAATGTTGGACAGACACCAAGTACAAGAGTCCATGTTGGGTGAATTCATTTCTATGAAGCTCAGAACCAGCTAACACAATGTATGCTGGTAGACGCAGGGAAAGTGCTCACCCTTGGAGAGGGGTGAATATTAACCGAGTGCAGGCACAGGGGAGCCTCCGGGGGTGCTGAAGATAGTCTGTATCTTGATCTGGTAGTGATTACATGGCGATTATAAACACTGGCTAAAAATCACAAAGCTGTACTCTTTAGATTTTTGTACCCAACTGTATGTAACTACCTCAATTTTAAAATTAAGTAGGATTGCCCTAGCCCAGTGATCGGCAAACTCATTAGTCAACAGAGCCAAATATCAACAGTACTTCTTCAAAATAGACTCGCCCAGGCCGAAAACTGACTTCTGCGCATGGGCCACGAAGTTTCAATCGCACTGTACGTGCGCCCGCACGTGGTATTTTGTGAAAGAGCCACACTCAAGGGGCCAAAAAGCTGCATGTGGCTCGCGAGCCACAGTTTGCCGACCACGGCATCGGTTTGGTTCAGTGGATAGAGCGTCAGCCCACGGACTGAAGGGTCCTGGGTTTGATTCCGGTCAAGGGCACATACCTCAGTTGCAGGCTCAATCCCTGGCCCTGGTCCAATGATATTGGGACCAATATTTTTCTATTGCTATAAAAAAAATGTCATTGGAATTTTAGTAGGGATTGCACTGAATCTATAGATTGCTCTGGGTTGTATGAGTATTTTTTAAAATCCTCATCCAAGGATATGTTTTTATTGATTTTAGAGAGAGGAAGAGAGAGAGAGAAACATTGATGTGAGAGAGAAACGTCGATCAGTTGCCTCCTATATGCACCCCGACTGGGGATCAAACCCACAACCTAGGTATGTGCCCTGACCAGAAATTGAGTAACTTTTCTGCTCCTTTCTCTTTTTCTTCTTTTGATACCCCTAGAATGGGAATGTTTATTGGCTTGATGTTATCCCATAAGTCCCTTAAGCTTATCTTGACTTTCTTTATTCTTTTTTCTTCTTCTCTGATTGTGTAAGTTCCACTGCCTTATCTTTGATCTCACTGGTCCTTTCTTCTGCTTCATCTAGTCTATTTTTGAACCCCTTTAGTGTGCTTTCCCCGTGACTATATTCTTTAGCCCTGTGACTTCTATTTTGTACTTTATATTTTATATCTCTTTGTTGATGTTCTCACTGTGTTTATCCATTCTTCTGAATTCAGTGAGCATCTTTATGACCATTATCTTGAACTCTTTATCAGGTAAATCACGTATTTCATTAAGGACATTCCCTTAAGTTTTATCTTGTTCTTTCTTTTGGAACATATTCCTTTGTTTCTTTATTTTCTTTGACTATGTTTGTGTCTATATATTAGATAAATAATATTTCATTGTGTGTGTATATAATCACATTTTCTTTATTCATTCATCTGTTGGTAGGCACTCCCAGAAGAAGACATAGAAAAGGGGTCATTTGTTGATTGTTTCTTTTGCTATTCAGGCTGTTTTCATATGATGGCTGTTAACATGCGAATGCATATATCTTTTAGATATCCTGTTTTCATTTCTGTTGGGTATATGCCCAGTCATAAAATTGCTGGATCATATGGTAAATCTATTTTTAATTTTTTTACAAACCTCCATATTATTTTCCACAGTGGCTAAAAACAATTTTATTCCCATCAACAGTGTACAGGTTCCCATTTCTCCACATCCTCACCAACACTTATCTCTTCTCTATTTTATAATAGCCATTCTAACCAGAATGAGGTGATATCTCATTGTGGTTTTGATTTGTATTTCCTGATGATTACTGATGTTGAGCATCTGTTCATATAACTGTTGGCCATATAAATGTCTTCTTTGGAAAATTTCCTATTTTTGTTTCTCTGCCCACTTTTAAATTGGATCGGTTTTGTTGTTGTTGTTGTTATTGAGTTATCTGAGTACCTTATATATTTTGAGTATTAACCCCTTATTCAACATATGATCTGAAAATTTTTTTCTCCCATCCTATAACTTACCTTTTCTTTATTACAAGTATTTTTTAAAATATATTTTTATTGACTTCAGAGAGGAAAGGAGAGCGAGAGAGAAATAGAAACATCCATGATGATAATCATTGATCAGCTGCCTCCTGCAGGCCCCCCTACTGGGATCGAACCTGCAACCTAGTCATGTACCCTGACCGGGAATTGAACCATGACCTCTTGGTCTTCTGAATTCAGTGAGCATCTTTATGACCATTATCTTGAACTCTTTATCAGGTAAATCACGTATTCTCATTTCATTAAGGAAGTTCCCTTAAGTTTTATCTTGTTCTTTCTTTTAGAACATATTCCTTTGTTTCTTTATTTTCTTTGACTATGTTTGTGTCTATATATTAGATAAATAATATTTCATTGTGTGTGTATATAATCACATTTTCTTTATTCATTCATCTGTTGGTAGGCACTCCCAGAAGAAGACATAGAAAAGGGGTCATTTGTTGATTGTTTCTTTTGCTATTCAGGCTGTTTTCATATGATGGCTGTTAACATGCGAATGCATATATCTTTTAGATATCCTGTTTTGTGTGTTATATGTTTTTATTGATTTCAGAGACAGGGAGAGAGAGAGAAAGAGAAAAAATGATGAGAGAGAAACATCCATCAGCCACCCCCTGCCCACCCTTACAGGGGATCAAGCTCCCAACCCAGGCATGTGCCCTGACCAGGAATCAAACGGACAACCTCCTGGTGCACTGGATGGCACTCAACCAACTGACCCACACCAGCCGAGCATCAGCTGTATTTGAACCCACAACTGGGAATCAGTGAGTGCAGAGGGCCGCTATATAGTTTTTACTCCACGTCCCTAACCCTGTGTGTCATATGTTTTTATTGATTTCAGAGACAGGGAGAGAGATAGAAAAAATGATGAGAGAGAAACATCCATCAGCCACCCCCTGCCCACCCTTACAGGGGATCAAGCTCCCAACCCAGGCATGTGCCCTGACCAGGAATCAAACGGACAACCTCCTGGTGCACTGGATGGCACTCAACCAACTGACCCACACCAGCCGAGCATCAGCTGTATTTGAACCCACAACTGGGAATCAGTGAGTGCAGAGGGCCGCTATATAGTTTTTACTCCACGTCCCTAACCCCTGCGGGGTTTAAGGGTCAACTACAGTTTGAAATCAGCAAGTGTGATGCCTCCAATTTGTTCTTCCTCAGGATTGCTTTGGCTATTGTCTTTTGTAGTTCCATAGACATTTTAGGATTTTTTTCCTATTTCTGTGAAGAATGCCATTGGAATTTTGATAGGGATTGAATCTGTAGATAGCTTTGGGTAATAAAAACATTTTAATAATATTAATTCTTCTGATCCATGAACACAGAATGTCTTTCTGTGTCTTCAATTTCTTTTTTTTAAAGTCTTAGTTTTTGTTATATAGTCTTAGTCCTAGGTTTTTATTTTCATTATGAATGGGACAGTTTTATTTTTTCAGATATTGCATTAATACAGAAATACAACTGATTTCTGTAGGTTAATTTTGTATCTGCAACTTGAGTGTTTTTGATCTTAGAGAAAAAGTTTTCAATTTCCCACTATTGAGTATGAAGTTAGCTGTGACCTTGTCATATATGGCCTTTATGTTGAGGTATGTTCCTTCAATACTCAATCTGAGGATTCTTATCATAAAGGGATGTCATCCATAACCCCACTGCCCAATCCTCTGGCAACTATTAGTTTTTCTGTATCTCTGAGTCTATTTGTTTTATTTGTCACTTGTTTAGTTTTTTTAAAATCCCATACATAAAAAAGTGAAATACAGTATTTTTCTCTGATTTATATTACTTAGCATAATACCCTCCAGGTCTATCCATGTTGTCATAAATGGCAAGATTTCATTCTTTTTCATGGCTGAGTAATACTCATGTATGTGTGTCCTTCTTTATCCATTCATTTATTGGTGAACACCTAGGTTGCTTCCATATCTTGGATATTGTAAATAATACTGCAGTGAACATAAGGGTGCATATATCTTTTAAAATTAGTGTTTCATTTTCTTCAGATAAGTGCCCCAAGTGGAATTACTGGGTCATTCTTTGTCTCTTGTTATAGCCTTTGTTTTAAAGTCTATGTTGTCTGATATAAGTATTGCTATTCCAGCTTCTTTTTTATTTTCATGAAATATCTTTTCCATCCCTTATTTTCAGTCTCTGTGTATATTTCAATCTGGAGTCTTATGTAGGCAACATATGTATGGGTCTTGTTTTTTTATCCATTCAGTTACCCTGTTTTCTAAGGGAGCACTTAGTCAATTAACATTTAAAGTAATGAGCGAGCCCTGGCCGATTTGGTTCAGTGGTTAGAGCATCGACCCATGAACCGAAAGGTTTCGGGTTTGATTCCCAGTCAAGGGCACATACCTCAGTTGCAGGCTCAATCCTGGGCCTATCGGGGTGCATGTGAGAGAGAAAACCAATCGGTGTGTCTCACATTGATGTTTCTCTCTCCCCTCCTTCCATCCTTCCACTGTCACTTATTGCCATTTTAATTGTTTTCATACTAGATTTATAAGTGGTTGGTCTACTTTCTTTAATATAGGGTGTCCCCCAAAAATGTATACACACTTTAACAGCTGGTATCTCAATTTTGAAAATGAACTGTATGTTAATAAATGCTGCCTTTATAATTATTCAAAGTGTGTGTATACATTTTTGGGGGGATACTCTAAATATGTTTGCCTTTACTAGTGACATTTTTCCGCCATATATATTTTTTTAATATATCTTTATTGATTTTCAGAGCGGAAGGGAGAGGGAGAGAGAGTTAGAAACATCAATGATGAGAATCATTGATTGGCTGCCTCCTGCACTGGGGGTCGAGTCTGCAACCCTGGCAAGTGTCCTTGACCGGAACCGAACCTGGGACCCTTCAGTCCGCAGGCCGACGCTCTATACACTGAGCCAAATCAGCTACAGCTCCCCATATATTTATTTCTAGTTTTTGCCTTTTCTTTTCCACTTAAAGAATTCCTTTTAACATTTCTTGTAATGCCAGTTTAGTGATAATGAACTCCTTCACCTTTTGCTTGTCTGAGAAAATCTTGATCTCTTCTTTAATTTTGATAACCTTGCTGGGTATTCTTGGTTGTAGGTTTTATCCCTTTGATCATGTTGAATATATCATGCAACTCCCCTCTGGCCTGAAAAGTTTCTGTTGAAAAGTCAGCTGATAGTCTTATGGGCATTCCCTTTTATGTAACTCGTTGTTTTTCTCTTGCTACTGTTAGATTCTCTCTTTAACTTTTAACAATTTAATTATAATCTTTCTTGGTGTGTCTCTTTGGATTCATCTTGTTTGGGACTCTCTCTGCTTCCTAGACATGGATGTCTATTTCCTTCCCCAGATAGGGAAGTTTTCAGCCATTATTTTCTCATATTGGTTTTCTGTCCCTTTCTCTCTCTTCTTCTGGGACCCCCATGAATCAAATATTAATGTACTTAATGTTGTCCCAAAGGTCCCTTATGCTATCCTCATTCTTTTTCTTTTTGATCTTCCAATTGGGTGATTTCCATTGTCCTGTCTTCCTGATTGTTATTCATCAGGAAGACAGGATAGTAGAAATCACTGATCTGCTATTGATTCCCTCTGGTGTATTTTTCATTTCAGTTGTTATATTCTTATTCTTAATTTCTGATAGATCCTTTAAAAAACACACACACACACAAAACATTTTTATCTCTGTTGAAGTTAACACTGAGTTTATCCACTTGTCTGCAGAATTTGATGAGCATCTTTATGACTATTACTTTGAACTCTTCATCTAGTAGACAGCTTACCTCAGTTTCATTTAGTTCTTTTTCTGGGGTTTTATCCTGTTTGCTGATTTGTTTGAAACATATTGTTTTCTCTCCTCATTTTTGCCTGTTTGTTTTCTATGTATTAGGTAGGTCAGCTAAATCTTCTGGTCTTGAAAAAGTAGCCTTATTTAGAAGGTGTCCTGTGGGGCCCAGTGGTGGAATAACCCTTGTCACCAGAGCCAAGTGCTCCAGAGGTGTTCCCAGATGGACTAGTGTGGCCTCCTGTTGTGGCTGGGCCACAACTTCTATGGACACACACTGACAGGTGAGGCTGATCCCTGGCCCACTGGCTGTAAGGCCTGGCCCCTCACTGGTGTGCAGGACAAGCCTTCAGTGTGGCTGGCTGAGAGGCCCGACCATGCTGTTGCAGATACACTGCTGTGTGCTGTGTGCCGGTGCTGACCGAGGCTGCCGCCCACTAGTGTGGCAGTGCAGGAGCTGCTTTGGAGGGGTGCTAGCTTGGGTGGGTCCTCAGGGAAATGCCAGGGTGGCGTGAACAGTGCTAGCAAGGTTAATGGAGAGTGTTAGAAATGGCACCTGCTAGGTTAGAGAAAGGGTGCTTGCCAGCACCTCTGCCTTAGGAGAAAGTTCCAACAGAGCCCTGTCCTTTCAGTACACATTCTAAAATTAGTCAACGTCACATATGACCTAGGTACTTTTCAAACTGCTCTGTGCTGGGACTCAAAGAGCGTAACCTACAGCCCTTTGGCTCTCCCAGATGTAAGCCCTGCTGGTTTTGAAAGCCAGATGTTATGGGGGCCCCTCTTCCTGGTTCAGGTCCCCCAGGCTAGGGCTCCGACCCCTCTCTCTTTGGAGACAACCTCCACATTTGAGATATCCCTCCCACTTGTGAGTCATCGCATGGGGAGTGGGGGTAGGGTAGGTCCTGACTAGACTTAGTCTCTACCCCTCCTACCTGTTTCAATGTGGCTTTTCCTTTATATCCATAGCTGTAGAAAATCTGCTCTGCTAGTCTTCAGGTCATTCTCAGAGAGCTGTTCTATATATAGTTGTAGTTTTGGTGTCAGTGAGAGGATCTTCCTGCTCTGCCATCTTGAACTCAGAGCCAGGAGCCTTGCTCTTGAATGTCAATATAGCTTGTCCGTGAAATGTCGTTCCTTGTTGGTGCACTGCCCCTGCAACAAAGGTGTCTCAGGATAGGATTGCAGTCACTCAGAAAATATTCCGATTTAGAATTTTAAGTTTAGCCTGGTTAAAGACCTCCTTTTTCTTCTAAAGAATGACTTTCTCTTAGATTTTGACTGCCATAAAATGTTACAACAGAAAGGCATTTTTATGTTTTGACTTAACTATTGTATGCTTTTAAATACCTGTGTCATTCCACCTCCCACCCCCCAGACTGAAGGTAGCCCATGTACCTGAGATTTCATGGGACTTCACTTTTTTCTTCTTGTAGTATACAGGCAGAGTATGTTACATAGAACCTAAGAGCCTGAATTTTAGAGCTTGTAGGTCTGGATTCAAATACCATCTTCACCACCACTTACTCTGTGATTTGGGGCAAGTCACTACACTTGTTGACAGATCATTGAACCAATCTCATAGGGTGATTATATAGTGCATGAAAAGTAAACATGTAGTGCATGGTCAATATTAGCATTTACAACTATTGATTCAAATACAGGCTTTCTGTCATTGTGGGGGAAAAAAAAAAGATTCTGTGATTTTTAAAACAACACATGCCCCCACCTTAAGAATCACTGCTCTATACAGGTGCATCTGTACTGTGTCTCTTTCTAGTAAACATGAGCTTTGTTCCTCAGATGCTTACTTCACAATTTCCATTGTTGACCATTGTTAAGGTGCCACCAAATTATCAGTGCATCATAATTGGTATTGTAAATAATAGTCACCAACACTTGTGATTACTTTAAACATTAGATCTATTCAACAAATAAGTTTAAAGGTAGAAAAGATAGGTCTACCATACAGTTTAGCATCTGACTCATTTTACATTGTAACTTGTTATGCTGTTACTTTAGAAATTAGTCAAAATGTCTTACATTAATTTCAATGTTTGCAAAATATTAACATTTGGGGACTGAGCTGGGGGGAGAGGTAAAAGGCATAGGGAGATAAATGGTGATGGAAGATTTGGCTTGGGGTGGTGAACAAACAACATAGAGACAGATGATGGGTTGTGGAATTGTGCACTTGAAACATGTATAATTTTGTTAACCAGTATCACCCCAATGCATTCAATAAAAAGGGGAAAAAAACTACTTGGGAACTGATAAAGTACTTTTGTATGTCAGACTGGCACATGCACTTGGCAATTTGAAAATAATCATAAAATATTTCAAGTATCATACTTTTTCACTGGGGGTGGGGGGGTGATAAGTAAAAACAAAACTCCATCACCAACCATAAATCCCTCTGCTCATATATATATATACCTTATCAATGGTTAGTATATAACTTAATGGGATCTTTTAAAAATACAAATATTTTTACTTCTAATGTGAAGAGCCTTTCCTTTACAGAAAAAAAAAAATGTTTAGGCCAATAAATATCTCATGTTTCAAATTTTCTGAGACTATTATTATAACAAAATCAATAAGTAAATTACATGTGTTTCTACCTTTGTAGATAAGACCATCTTTCCTGCCTCCCCCGACCCCCAATTTGCCATGATTATGATGGACAGATAAAAAGCTGAATAAGACACCACCTAAAATTTGAAATTGGCTTACCCTTTAAATTCTTGCCATGTATGTATGTATGTACACTTGAAACAAGGTGATTGAGAAGATCTGAGATGTATCGAAGTGGTAACTAAGAACCGTTAAATCTAACCAATGAGATTGTCAAACTTTATAGAAGAAAGTGAGTCAGTATGATGTCTAGATTGAGATAGGAATTCATCAACGTAGCTTTGACCTTATCCAAAGGTGTACCTGTCCTCATTGGAAGACTCCAGGATGTCTTCATGACGGTGTGGTTTCCTAGCACAGCAGTGCATCAGACTATCGTGCTTGGTGGTATTGGCTAGTGGACTGACCAGTTCCACCCATTTTGCTTCCAGCTTGAATCCAACTTCTGATTTTACTTTGTTTCCATGAGGACTGTTTTACTGTAGTCCCCCTTATCTGCAGTGTCCCTTTCCATGGTTTCAGTTACCTGCAGTCAACCAGTCTGAAAATATTAAATGAAAAATTCCAAAGAGAAATAAGCAATTCATCTTTAAAATTGTGTGCCATTCTGAGTAGTGTGATGAAATCTCATGCTGTCCTGCTTAGGCGGAGTCAACCCTTTATCTAGTGTCTTCCGCTTGCTCGTTAATAGCCATCTGTTATCAAATTGACTGTCATAGTATCACTGTGCTTGTGTCAAGTAACCCTTATTTTACTTAATAATGGTCCCAAAGCACAAGAGTAGTAATGCTGGCAATCAGGATATGCCAAAAGGAAGCTGTAAAGTGCTTCCTTTAAGTGAAAATATGAAAATTTGATGTTATCCATGGTTTCAGGAATCCACTGATGGTATTGTAATATATCCCCCTGTGGATAAGAGGGGACTCATGAATAGAATGTACTCATTAAACACAAGTATCCAGGTCCTCTTCAAAGTCATTTACTCGTTGCAAATGCATAATCTGGGACCAACATTTTACATCAAAAGAACAAAAAAGTTTCAAAGTATTCTCTAAAACAGCGGTTGCCAACCTTTCGGACCTCACAGACCACCAGTGGTCTGCGGACCACCGGCTGGCAACTGCTGCTCTAAAATGTCACCTGTAATTGACTACTGTCATGGGCTGCATACAGACCCCATAAACAACAGTGGTTCCATAAGATTATAATGAAGCTGAAAAATTCCTACCACCTAGTGACATCATAAACATTGCAACATCACAACATAATGCGTTACTTATGTGTTTGTGGTAATGCTGGTGTAAACACTTATGATGCCAGTCATAAAAGTATAGCACATACAATTATACCGTACATTAACACTTGATAATATTACTGGTCCGTGTATTTACTATGCTATACCATTATTTTTAGAGTATAGTCTATTAAAAAGTTTGCTGTAAAACTATATCCTATTATGTCAGCAGCAGCGCCATACATCTTGTTTACCATGTCTCTTGATGAAATCAAGTACAAAATGATTCAGTCTCATGTTTTCTTCATCATGGCCCCTTAGTGTACGAGATTTACTAATAATGTTGCCAGTAAGAGGGCATGTCTAGTGAATGACCTAAAGACAAAAGTAGTGATTAAGGACTACGAAGGTAGAAAATCAGTCATGGTTATCACTCTCCTGCCAAGCAAGTCCCATTCCACCTTAGTAACAATCTTGAAGAAAAAGAACGAAGTGGTGGAAACTGTTAAAGGACCTGCTTCTTGAAGGCACGGAGACTAACAAAAATTCAAGGGCCTACATGAGACATGGAGAAACTTGCAATGACCTGACAGAAGACCAGACACAAAAGCATATCCTTCTCAGCACCATGATGATCATGGCAAAAACAAAACCCGTTTGCAATGTTGAAAGAAAAGGCTAGACCGGACTATGATGTTGAATTTACTGCTAGCTCCGGGTAAACAATTCGAGAATTGTTATTCATTACATAATGCAAAAGTGTGAATCTGCCAGTGCTGATGTGAAGGCAGCAGAAAAAAATTTGTAAACTCTAGAGAAGCTGACTGTGGAAAATTACTTGGCAGAGCAAATATTCAATGTAGATGAAAACTCCCTATTCTGGAAATGGATGCCTAAAAGGACTTTTATCCACGAGGGGAGGAATAACTGCCACTGATTTTCCACCTTCTACCTTCGTAGCTGAGTCACTTTTAGTTTTGTTTCAGGCTTTTAAAGGACAGGATAACAATCTTGCTTGGGAGCAGTGTTGCAGGTTACAAATGTAAACCCTTTGTGATCTGGCACAGTGGCAACTCCAGGGCCTTCAGGCATAACACACACACATTGCCAGTGTATTACAGAAGCAATAAAGTCATAGATATATCTATCTATCTAGATATATATATAAAGTCAGCTCCTCTTCTAAGATGCCCTTCTGAATTGCTCTGCCAAGCAAAATCAGGTACTGTTCGGAGAGTAACATACATTTCAAGGTTTTGCTTATTGTTGATAAAGCTCCTGGGAAATCTTTTATTGGTGATGCAATTCTGAAAAGGATTACATCTGACTGCATTGAGAACCTTGCTTAGGCTGGGGTGATGTCACCAGGAAGTGTTTAACTGTCATCTGGGAAACACTTAAAAGGTCAGTCTATGACTTCAAAGGAGTTGCTGAGGATGCGGTTGCAAAAATCAACAAGGCTGAGGTTGAGCCCTGGCCGGTTTTGCTCAGTGGACAGAGCATTGGCCTGTGGGCTGAAGGGTCCCGGGTTTGATTCTGTTCAAGGGCACATGCCTGGGTTGTGGGCTTGATTCCCAGTATGCGGCATGCAGGAGGCAGCTGATCAATGATTCTCTCTGATCGTTCATGTTTCTCTCCCTCTCTGAAATCAGTAAAAATATAAAACAAAACAAAAACAAACAAACAAACAAAAAGGCTGTGGTTGAAAGCGCAAGCAACTCTAACTGGGTGTGGGTGAGGAGGACACTGCTCCTAGAGGTGGTTCCTGAGGAATTGACTAATGAGTTGTTAGAGCTGGAACAGGAACACATAGCTGAAGAGGAAAAAGGAAACTGCAGAACAAGAACCCCCAAGAAAACTCAGTAAAGGGAATAGCAGCTTTTGTAGATCTCAGTAAGGTCCTTAAAAAGTTTGAAAACATGGACCCCAACACCTAATAGGTTTTCATCAATAGAGAGGAATGTTCATGATGTACTGCGTGCTTACAAGAATACTTACAATAGAAAAACAAGCCCAGCAAACCACAATGGACAAATTTTTGAAGAGTAACAGCTTCAGGAATAGCCTTAAGGCAGGTCCTCCGGGAAGTTTTCAGGAGGCACTGTTGTCATAGATGAGAGCTCCATGTATGTTATTGCCCCTGTAGACCTTCCAGTGGAACAAGATATGGAGGTAGAAGGCAGTGGTACTGATGATCCTACGGGCCTGGGCTAATTGTGTTTATGTCTTAATTTTTAAAGTCTAAAAATTTTTTTAAATTTTTATAGGAAAAATGTGTACTGAATAAGAATATAAAGAAAACATTTTTGTACAGATGTACAAAATGTGTTTGTTTTAAGCTTAGTGTTATTATAAAAGATTCAAAAAATTAAGACAAAGGTAAAAAGTTACAGTAAGCTAAGTTTAATTATGAAAAAAGTTTTTAAATTTCATGTAGCCCAAGTGTTGTCAGTCTACTATAATGTCCTAGGCCAGTGGTTCTCAACCTTCCTAATGCCGCGACCCTTTAGTACAGTTCCTCATGTTGTGGTGACCCCCAACCACAAAATTATTTTCGTTGCTACTTCATAACTGTAATTTTGTTATGAATTGTAATGTAAATATCTGATATGCAGGATATATTTTCATTGTTACAAATTGAACATAATTAAAGCATAGTGATTAATCACAAAAACAATATGTAATTATGTGTTTTCCGATGGTCTTAGGTGACCCCTGTGAAAGGGTCGTTCAACCCCCCAAGGGGTCGCGACCCACAGGTTGAGAACCGCTGTCCTAGGCCTTCCATTCACTAAGCACTCACTGACTCACCCAGAGCAACTTCCAGCCCTGCAAGCTCCATTTATGATTAACAGGTATTCCATCTTATCTTTTATGCCCTATTTTTACTGGACCTTTTCTGTTTAGATACACAAATACTATTGTTACCGTAGCCTACAGTATTCAGTACAGTAAAATCCTGTGCGGGTTGTAGCCTAGGAGCACCAGGTGATACCATATAGCCATATGTGTAGTGGGCTATACCATCTAGGTTTGTATAGTGCACACTATGTTCACACAAAGACAAATTGCTATTGATGCATTTCTCAGAACATATCCCCAACATGTATTCCCATTGTTAAGCCAGCCACATGACTCTAGTTTGATGGGAGGCAAAGTACAGTCATGTACTGAATGACATTTTAGTCATTAACAGATTCCATGTATATGATAGTGGTCCCATTTATATATGTAAAAGCCTAAGCAACCAGCTGGCCAGTAGCTATGACACGCACTGACCACCAAGGGGCAGACACTTAAACCAGGAGCTGCTGAGCTGCAGTAGCGGTTCTCGAGTGACATAACCCAGAACCAGAGAGGGAGCCCGATTCCAGGGTGCTGCGTCACCAGAGAACTGCCCTCTCGCAATTTGGGACCCCTTGGGGGATGTCAGAGAGCCAGTTTCTGCCCAATCCCCGCAGGCCAGGCTGAGGGACCCCACTGGTGTATGAATCTGTGCACTGGGCCTCTGGTAAGATTATAATGGAGCTGAAAACTTCCTACTGCCTAGTGATGTCATAGCCATCCTAATCCAAGCACAAGTTACTCATGTCTTTGTGATGCTGGTATAAACAAACCCACTGGGCTGCCAGTCCTATAAAAGTGCCATCTAGATTTGTGTTAAGTACATTCTATGATGTTCACATAAGGAAGACATTGCCTGATGATGTATTTTCTCAGAATGTATCCCCGTTGTTAAGCAGTACATGACTTGTATAATCAATGACAAAATACTATAAACAAGATACATTCCTTTAGCTGACCTTACCCAAGCACGTCTTAGTATAAATGCAGAAATGGAGAAAAACTTCAAGGCTAAAAAAGCAATTTCAATTAACCAGTCTACATCTAGTACCCACAAATAAATGTCGCCTATCAACTTAGTCTTAAAACTTCCAATAGAAGCAGCCATATTTCTGTGAGATGAATTTGCAAATACAGAATCAAACAATGAGAATGGAGTAATGGAGTGCAAGTTTTTTCCTAAATCAGGTCCTACCAGATCACAAACTTTTGTTGGCTCCAAACCAAGCAGAAGTTTGCTTCACTAGAAAATGAAGGTATTTGCAGAACAGATGGATGGTTTATCTGCAGCACATAAAACCATATAAAGATACGGTCTGCAAACTCGTATCTGCAACTCTAGATTTTAGAATAGTTTTAAACTTCAACTGTGGGAAATTTATAGATATAACTTCTAAGGTGTCTCAAACTAAAGTCTGCTCCTTTAAAACCTCAAAGCTTGAACCATTTTCTCAAATTTTGAAAAATAGTATATATATTTCTCTACCTAAACTGTCAAGCCCCTTAGAGGGTAAGTGTATGGTTAGGCAAAACACAAAATAGTCATTAGAAGGCCTATGGAGGGAGGGGGTACAGATTTAAACCATGGGATAGAGGTGGGGTTTTTTATTGTTGTTTCAAAACAGGAAGCCAAATGAAAAGCATTCCAGGCACAGAGCATTGTAAGGCTTCATCATGCAGAGAAGGCTGATATAGGAATGGTTTTATTTGGATTTACTTATTTGCTCCCAAAGGCAAAAGAGCTGGTATTAAAACCATTCTCAAAAGTACATTTAAATTGCCAGGGGAATTTGTTTCACAGATGTCTTGGGCCTTAGCCCCCATCTTCTAAAACCCATTCTCTAGCCTGACTGGTTGAACGTTAACCTATGAATCAGGAGTCATGGTTCAATTCTGGTCAAGGACATGTGCCCGGGTTGTGGGTTCGATCCCCAGTAGGGCATGTGCAGGAGGCCACTAAAAAATAAGGCTAAAAAATGAATCCTTGTTGACATTTAATATAAAAACCATACCCAAAACACACTCCTCTATACAGAGTAACTGTTTACTTGTCCTCCACCATGTAAATGAAGCCTTTAAGCTATCTCTCAGCCTAGAAACCTTAATAGTCAAACTGTCATCTCAAAAAATAAAAATGTTAAGATCATTTAAACTATACCTTTGTCACAAGAGGTTCTTATGCTAATTCCAACTTATCGCCTACTTACACAAGCCAAGTGAAATAAAATAGCATAACATCACTGTTTACTGTTTAAGGAATTTTTATTAAAGCAAGTATTTTATAATCCAAATTACGTTTCCTTGCTCAGTTATCAATTCTGTTATTTAAAACAGAAGTGACATTCTGAGCTATTCCACAGTAAAGAATTACAAAATTAAAGAAAGGAATGCTTTAAATTTTTGTACTTTGCTGAAAATTCTTTTTCCCAGGGTCTATAAAACATTAATTTGTTTTTATATTTTACTATTTTTTTGTGTTTTTTTTTTTTTTTTGTTTTTAAATCATGTTTTTAAAATAAGTAATCTAGGACTAGCATTATTTTTGCTAGACCTGGCATTTGCTCGGTACATAAGGTCCAAAGTTTCCTTTCCTTTTTTTATTTATTTTATATTTTGCAATGTTTTTTTTTTCCGTAATATTGTTTTTCGATGTTTAGATATTTTTCTTCGGTGAAGCACGAGTTTCTTTTCATGGTCCCTGATCAATCTGTAAACGTGGGGGGAAAAAAGATTATAATCATAAAACTTGCTCTGAGACTAGATCTTAATTATTCCAACCACAAAAAAAAAAAAAAAGATCATTACATAAAGTGATGGAGGTACTAACCATCGCTACAGTGGCAATCATATCACAATATAGACATGTGTCAAATTAACATGGTGTGTCTTAAATTTTCCCATTATGTATCAAATATACTTCAATAAAACCAAAGCCAACAAAACAAGGAAGATAAGACCAATACTAGTATTTGTCAGTAGCAAATTAAAGCTGTGTACCAAATTTAGTCAACCACACTCATTTGTTTACATATTGTCTATGACTGCTTTCATACTGTAACAGAGTTGAGTTCCTGCCAACAAACACAAGGCACACAAGGCCCACAAAGCCCAAAATGTTTGCAGTCTGGTCCTTTTCAGAAAAGCTTTTCCAATCTCTGGTCCTGGCTGAACAGCTACATTATAATACTATTTCTTGGGAGTAAATAAAGGGCAATAGTAGAGGCCTAAGGGCAACTGTTACTACTGCCACCCAAGAAAAAGCATAAGAATAAACTACACAAAGGGCCAACCCCTGTTAAAGGCCATTTAACAAAACTCACTATATAAAATGTTTAATCATGCTTTGATTTTGAAAATTCAAGTTAATATCAGGGTAACAGGTAACATTTAATTCTTACATTTCCATTTCTCTGAAAAACTATCAATGCATTTGGACTTAATGATAAAATAATTTTTGCCATGTTTCAAAATATGCTCAAACTATTATAAAAGATGGAGGAAACAAGCTAAAACAACCATGCGGGAAAGCTCACTTTAAACAGTTGGAACACCGGTGGCACTGTTCACTGCTTTCTGGGCAGCCTCCTTAGCTTGGTGGGCTTGTAGTACGGCTACAGCTTCATCAACCTAAAAAAGGAGAACAAATTGGCTCTGAAAAGGAATAACTAAAAGAATCTCAACTTGGCCATACACAAATGTCATCAAAGGTCAAGTGGAAAGAGCGAAGAGTTCCAAAAAACATTCCAACTATTATCCATATCTTTTTGAGTTCCATTCCACTACTATTCCAGAATTATGAACTCTCTTGTACTTAATCTCACCAAAAATCCTCCAAAGTTGAAAAATATTAGCAATTATCACTATCTTTTTCCAATAAAGAAGTAGCAGCTAGGAGAGCATGGATACTAGAGTTAAACTGACTGATTTGAAACCATGCTTGGCACTTCCTAGCTTTGTGAGCATTGGGGAATTAATTAACCTCTCCATGCTTGTTTCCCAATTTATAAAATGGGAACAATAGCAGCACGGGTTATTATCAGAACTTACAATTACTACCTGTAGAACTCTCAGAACAGTGCATGGTTTGTAGAATGATGTTTCACATACTTACAACTGTAAACCTACTTTTGCCCACCCTGTATATAGCACTTAATAATGTTCTATGAAATTAAGCTCCTACAAAAAGCCCTAAAATATTCGGAGTCTAAGTTGTTAGATAAATGACAAATTTGAATTACTTTAGAACGGAGAGACTCTGGAGACTCAAGCATATGAAGAAGTTCTGAATTATCGATCTCCAACAACATGCCAGTGATTTTACCAGCAAGAGTAGGGTGCATGGCTTGAATGAGAGGAAACAGCCGTTCACCTAGGGACAAAAACATTTCAAAGACTTCAATAAAGAAAAAAAATCCTAAAGGCATCTACCATATTAAAACTGGGATTTAAGAACCTTTTGTATATAGCAAATAAATGAGTGTAAGCTATGTTGCTATATTCAATTGTTAAATCTATGCTCAGGCAAAGTCAAACAAAGTTCGTCCCTCATTTGTTTCAAATTCCCTCTTCCAACAATGTGGTGGGAATGCATAGCAAGTAGGGGTGTAATGCCCTATTACCATATCCATCAAAAGCAACATATTGATAACTTTCTGGGCTTTAAATTAGTTAGGCAGACAAGCTGTGCCATCTTAGTCATTCATGCCAATTCAGATCAATCTAGCTGTATTATTAGGTGCAAAAGAGGTTTTTGTGTCTATTTTCTAGTCTCTAACTGACTAGGTAAGACAAAGGTACCTACCCAACATTTGCTTTTGCTCTTGAGGAGGGGCAGATGCCAACATGGAAGCAGTCAAAGGCTCCTGACCTTGTACATGAACAGCAGGCTAGATATAAAATAGGAAAATTCCTAAGTTTCAAGTAAGAAGTAATGACAAGTGACAGTCACCACTAGAAAATCAGTGAGATGATAGACTGCAATCTGAACAAATAGAAGCTGAGTAAACCAGAAACACACTTATTTGTTCAAGTATTAAGATCACATGGGATATTTCACTTTTTTTTTTTAACCTGGAGTATTCTTTGGAACCAGATTTCTATTATAAGCAATGACAATTTTGGTCCAGGGTAAAAAAAAAAGGTGGGGGGGGGGTGCAGGAGTAAGCTACAGCTCACAAACTAAACTCGATTTTACCCTGTCTTCCTTACAGCTATGCCAAACAAACCTCAAGTCACCCAATTAAATTAAGAATGGGAAATGCAGAAAGCTTGTCTAATTCCTATAGCACAAGGCAGATAAGACATTTTTACATACTATCAATTAATGGGACAATTAACAAGATGTTCTAGACAGCCTAAGCTCTCCTATGTCAGACAGTTGTCTTCAATTTCTTTGATTGCAACCAAGGTTCTGTCGCCTTTATGAAGAAATCAGTAAGTCCATACCTGCTGCATGGTAACTTGTGGCTGTGCATTAAGATGTTGTTGAGGATTGCGAACTCCTGGAGCGTATTTATACTGTGCAACGGTGCGGACAGCAGGAGTAGCTGCAGCAGCAGCCGCTGCAGGACGAGGACCCATTGTCTGTGTTGATGTGTTAGCTAAAAATAAAAACATGTATTTTGTACATTTACCTTGCTACTTCAAATTGGAGACCAATTTTTACAGGCAGGGTTAAGACTCACCAACACGCTGTGTGGACATGACTCGTGGAACCTGTGAAGAAGCTGGTCTCATAGTACTAAATGGTGGTCTAGGAGCGGCTGGGCGGATAGCACCGGGCATATTTTGGAATGCTGCATTTAAAGATATGAACACACATTAACTCGGCAAAACTCACTGAAAGTATTCATGCTGCTTTTCTAGAGCTGAGGTTTGAACACAAGGCTAAAAGTAAATACCATTTTTTAGTCTCACACCTAAAGTATCCCCAGACTTATCAGATCACAGCATCAGTGAATATTCATTCATACAAGTACTTATTAATATCTAAACATCATACACAAACCTCATTCCAAGTGCTCCTACAATACAACACTATTCTACAGACAGGATAAAGCCAAAGATGCCAGGACCTGGTCCTCATACAAGCAACAAAATCTTTAAAACTACTGCCCAACCAAATATGAAATTAAGAATTAGATCCTGCCCTGGCCAGTGTGGCTCAGTTGGTTGAGCATCATCTGGTGCACTGAATGGTCACCAGTTTGACTTCTGGTTAGGGAACATTCTCAGGTTACAGGCTCGATCCCCAGTTGGAGTGTGTGCGGAAGGCAACCAATCAATGTTTCTCTCTCACATCGATCTTTCTCTCTCCTTCTAAAAAAAATAAAAATAAAAATAATCAATAAAAACATTAAAATAAGTTAAAAAAGAATAAAGAGTTGGATCCATTCCCAAACTTACCATAAAGGAAAAATCAAACCAGCATAGAAATCACTGTCTCAGAGTGGTGAGGCATTTTACAATTTTTTTAAAATAAAAAAAAATCCCAAATAGGAGAAAAAAGGGGACACATGTAATAGTTTCAACAATATACTTTAAAAAACCCTATATAATCCTATATAATAAAAGCCCAGGGACTGAACGGCGAAATGACCGCGGCCCCTTGCCCCAGCGGGGCGGGCCAGCTGGACCCCACCAGTGCACGAATTCGTGCACGGGGCCTCTAGTAAAAAATAAAATAAATTCAATAAGCATGACCCAGGGTGAGAATTTAAAAAAAAAACAACAAAAAACTAGAATCAAATGAACATTGATAACCATAAATTATGAAAAGCAAGTTAACATATCACTGAAATATAACAGCTAATTGGCCCATTTATATTTTTATTCCAAATAATCCATCCCCTCAAGAGAAAAAAGGAAAAGCTTACGATGAGGTCTGGCACCCTGAGCAGTCCAGCGAGGACTTGGTCTTAGTTGAGCAATTTGGCTAGGAGGATAGTATGCAGCACGGTTCTGAGTCTGCAGAAAGCAAGCAAATACATCAGCTAAAGAATAAAAGCAAATAATTCAACTAGCTATATACTCTAAATATATACCTGCTATATACTAAATAAAGGTTCTCAAACAGAAAAACGTACCTGTGGGATAGCTGCCATGAAGTAACCTGAAGGAGGTGCTGGCTGGTAGGGGTTGATTACGGGGTTGGGCACAGCTCTCACACTTGCCATTCTCTGCATATACTGGTTAGTGAGGTGAGCCTGGCGCTCTTCTTTGCGCTGAGCTAAAGCTACATACAATGGTTTGGTAGCCACAATTCTACCATTCATTTCTGTAACTGCTTTAGTGGCTTCTTCTGGGGAGGAGAAACATACAAAACCAAACCCTTTGCTGCGACCACCCTCCATCATAACCTATTGAAAGAAAAAAAAATATTAAATAAGGTTAATAGTGGTAGAATGAGGCACAAATTGAGAGCATTATTACAATGATAGCTACTGACTCAACTAAACCCTGTTAACAATGAAAGAATTTTTTCCCCAGTTTTTCCTTAGTACCTAAATATTAAGGGCAAGCTACACACATGCATTATCCCAGCCAAGCAAAGGAGGAAGTAAAGGGGCAGAGGTGCAACAGCAATTTTTTAAAGATACTCAGTTAGATATTTAGATTCTCAATATTAAGGTTTAAATAGCTAAATAAATTCAAGGCTTACTAAATTTAAAACTCTTAGCACCACTGGAAATACCCAATTAAAATCACTCTTCGAGCCACTGAAGCTGACAAAATGCTTTACTACTCTTTAAAGAGGAAAGAGGGGGAGGGAAAGCAGTTGAATCTTATAATACGCATATTTTAAAATAAAAACTTCACACTCAAGACCAGAAGGGGCCATGAATATTGGGGCATAAACAATATTCAGGAAACTTTCACTGACTGCAATGATCTCTGCAACAAGCAATGAGGTAATGTAAAGAACTCCTCACTAGCTCAGAAATATACATAAGCGTGCTATCCAGCTACATTAAACAGTATGCTGGAAACACAGGAATAAACAAAATGGCAATGAAACAGACGCCAATATTACTTATATGTAGAATCAAAACCACAAACAAATTAAAAAAAAAAAAACCCAAACAAAAGAAAAGAAACAACTCCTGAGTTCCTGGATACAGAAAATAAGACGAGTGGGTACCAGAGGGGCGAAGGATGGGAAAACTGGGTAAATGGGGTTAAACAGTACAAATGCCCAGCTACAAAATAAATCATGGAAATGGAATGTACAGCATGGGGACTATAATAATAAGTGTAATATGCTAATTAGACTAGATGACCTTCCGGACGATGACCCCAAGTCCCGGGGGTGTCAGAGGGAAGCCGGTGCCAGCAGCTGGGGAAAGGAAGGCCTACTCTTGCACAAATTTGTACATCGGGCCTCTAGTAGTTAATAATACTGTATTGTATACTTGAAGGTTGCTAGCAGAGATCTTACAAGTTTTTTCATTACAAGAAAAATATTTTTTGTAACTATGTACAGAGATGAATTGTCATATCTTCACAATATATAAAATACTGAATCACTGTGTTGTAAACATGAAATTAATGTTATAAGTCAATTATATATAAATTTAAGAGTCCAGAAACATACCCATGCAATTATGGGAATTTAGTGCATTAAAGTGAACATTTTAAAAATAGGGGGCAAAGGATGGACTTTGAACTATTTAGTATATGGTACATTGGGATAACTGAAAAGAACTGTTAGACCTCTTCTTCATATCACATTAAAAAAAAATAAAATCGCCAGATTCTCAATCTGAACATAAAATGCAAAAATGTAGGAAAAATGTAATCTGACACAAGATCCTAAAGTACAAAGTGAAAGACTGAAAGAAAATATTTGCAATATAAATAAAGAGTTGACATACATTGTCCCTAAGTTAATAAAGACAACCAATGCAACATAAAAGTATGCAATGAAAGGCAAAAATAGTAAACACATGAAAAACATGTCATCATTTGAAAAGATATATATATACTGCTTTCTACTAATAAGACTAATAGAAATTTATTCAGCCCTTTTGGACAATTCTGTTGTATCAATTTTAAATACACACCCACAAACCAGCAATATCAATTCTAGAAATACTGGCATGTGTATAAATAAATGAATGAATGAATGAATGAATAAAAATGGCTGGTAGAAAGGTGGATTTAACTTTGAAAACATGCAAAGCAACCCAAATACTTATAAATACAGGTACAGTAAAATAATTTATGATATATCCATACCATGAATATTTAACTATTAGCAAAAAATAAATGCCTGAAATAAGTATGTATTTAGATATATTGTTAAATAAAATAGCAAGTTGCAGAATATGCAGGGCATAATCCTGTTTACTAAAAACTATTTATACATATAGACTGGACAAGCACAAAGAATTATCACCACCACTCAATCTTTTTGGAGACTGAAAATGGGGGATGCAGGAGTTGCCTTTCACTTTTTGTCTTTCTTTTTGGTATGCTGTTTCAGCAAGCACTATTAAATCAACATAATACCCTCCTTCCTCCCTCCAAAATAAATTCTTGCCAAACTTTTCACCTCCTTGCAAATAGTGATATTATAATCCACAAAGGACTTTAAGAACTCTCCTTTGTAAAACATGCATGTAAAATACATTTAAAATAAATGAATGCATAATAGTCAGTTTAAACAGCTTTCAAGCAATACACTGAGGTTAAAGACACTCAGGAATAAATTCCACCACACTCCAGGTACTCTTACAAAAGCACAGGCTGTAACACAAGACAACCACATCACTTGCTTTCTTATTTGTATTCATCTACTGTGTTCCTAACATTTCCTCACTTTCACAGAAGCTTCCTCAGTCAATGGGTTTGCCAGGAAAAGCTGAGTAGAAAGATGAGCCACAAATCATTCCAGAGCCCAGAGCTTTAATTTTTCCTACACTCCAAAATTCCAGAATTTAATATAGAATCCTGTTTTTAGAGTCTGACTCCTCAGAATAAGTGAATACAGATTAGCCCAATTGTTAACAGGTATAGTCCCCTAATAAACTGACACCTTAACCAGTAAAAGCACTAGTTTAACAAAGTGTAGAACAGTGCACATCATTGAGGATCAATCAATTTAACTATGGTCGGTCATCAACTGCAGCCTTCCTCAGGAAAGAATGCAGAACTCTCCATCTGCAAAAATAAACCATGGGGCTACAACATCCACATCGAATTTGAATGGTTTTTTTTTTTAAGTAATGAAGCAAAAACTTGATTCCCAGGAAAGAAAAAAAATTTGGGAGGCCCACCTTATTTGACTATTCGTTTACAAAGTGGAAAAAAAAAAAGTAAATTGATGAGAAATTAAATACATATAACCATGGATTTTTCCAAAATCTTAAAAAAAAAAAAATCATATGCTTACCTTTGCGCTAGTGATTGTACCAAATGGAGAGAACTCTTTCCGGAGACGTTCATCATCAATACCATCATCAAGATTTTTCACATAAAGGTTAACACCCTAAAAAAAAAAGAAAAAAGAATAACTAGAAAAAGAAAACCATGGTGGTACTTAAGCACACTTCCTACTGTTTTATCCCATGTTTCTTTCCCCGCCCCCCGCCTCAAATCCTCCGATTATGTGTCAGTAAGTAAAATAGGTTTCCTCATCCCTGTCTTACTTATTAACTTGTTCAATTAAAATGAACCAGGCAGCCCAGCCGGTATGGCTCAGTGGTTGTGTGTAGACCTATGAAACCAGGAGGCCATGGTTCGATTCCCGGTCAGGGCACATGCCTGGATTGCAGGCTTGAACCCCAGTAGGGGCTGCTCAGGAAGTAGCCAATCAGTGGTTCTCTCTCATTATTGATGTTTCTGTCTCTCTCACCCTTCCTCTCTGAAATCAATTAAAATATATTAAAAAACAAAAAACGAACCTGGTATCTGGTGATCCTATCTTGCTTCATCTGTTCGAATTTGCGCTTAAGTTCCGTCTGCCGTTCCACTTTTTTCTGAGCTCGACCAACATAAATTTGTTTTCCATTGAGCTCCTTTCCATTCATCTCATCCACAGCCTTACAGAAATAACAAAAACTTTAATTACTAATTTGAAATATGGAAATTCATTTTTTTAACAGCAAAGAAAGTTTGTTACGTTGTGAAAGCTAAAGACAGACCCGTAACAAAAACTAAACTTTGCGGTTTGGGGAAAATGTAGGTTCCCAATTTATAGTGTCAAAATATATAAAATCCAAATAAAATTAAAAAAACATGTAAAGATGAACATGTAAAATAGCCGTTGGTATGCATGTAAATTTCAACTTAAGAGCAACCCAGTTTTATATCTCTTTGCAATAAAACACAGAGCAATTAGTGCCTTTAGTTAATATATTTAAGTCTTACTTTCTGTGCATCTTCATGCCTTTCGAAGCTTACAAATCCAAAACCTTTGGATTTTCCACTTTCATCTGTCATTACTTTCACACTTAAGGCAGGTCCTAAAAAAAATTTTTTTTTAATGACTTAGATATTCCATGCAATACTTAGTTTATACATTTTAAGTTTCAACGCACAAAAACAAAGCCATGCATGGGCACTAAATAGTCTCTTAAAAGACCCTGTATTTCTACTAAGAAGTAAACTGAAAACATTCCTACTTCCATTTATGGAAATATGTTTTAGACAACTGTAAAAAATGAAATTTTATTCTTAGCAGTACTACAGACCAGATTTGCCTTTTTTTAACCCAACAATTTGGTTTTCTTGACATCAGAATTAACAAATAAGAATTTCTTAAGCCCTGGCCCACTTGATTTCAACAGTCAGTGAAGGGAATACAGCGTCTGACATTTGGGAAGACAATCACCTGGAGGTGGCATGTTTCTGAATTCACATGCCCAATCCCCACCCACTCAAGTAAAAATGACACTTAACTGAGGCGGGTATTTTCTCAGGTAGGTGGGACAAAAAGGCTAAAAATCCAATTAGAGAATGTGTAAGATGTATGAGCATAGATTGTTACTTTTGAATGTGCTGCAGTCCTAAGGTTATACTTTCAACCTCTGCTATGCAAAGCCATCCAGAATATAACTGACAAATTTACAAATTGGTGGCCAACTGACAGCATTATTTATTTGAAATAAGTGGTTACAATATCCAACCAAACTTTAGAAATAGCTTCTAATCTCAAAAGATAGATGAAATATACAACACCTGACAATTTGCATATTAGGCATATATATATTTTACTTTGCAGTACAATAGATGATCAGTAGCTTAATCCAAAAAACTACAAATTATTTTAAGTATCATGTAAGTCTCATTTATTTTGGTAAAATTAGCCAAAACTAATATTGAGCAACTAGAGGCCCGGTACATGAAATTCATGGGGCTGGGTTGCCCCTCAGCCTGGCCTATGCCCTCTTGCAGTCCTGCGTTGAGCGTGTGCCCCCTGGTGGTCAGTGTGCATCATAGAGACCTGTCATTCTCCTAGGCTTTTAATATAAAGATTACTCAGAACTTTGAATGTAAAAATTTAATTCAGACACATTACCAAACTTGCCAAAGAGATCCTTAAGGCGCTCATCATCCATGTCTTCTCCAAAATTCTTGATGTAAACATTGGTGAACTCTTTTGCCCTAGCTCCAAGTTCTGCTTCTCGTTCTTTACGAGACTTAAATCGCCCAACAAATCTAAAAGAAAAGAAAATGTAGACTATAAAATTTAGTTTCCATTTTAGAAGTTCAGATTAAGCCTGATGGTTGATTTTGTAAATGCTACTCATAATTTCAGAATCTCTAATGAAGAGCAGACTGTAAAACAGAAATAGAGCCTCAATGAAAAAATGAAAGTATAAAATATAAAAAACTTCGTAATTACAATCACACACACAAAAAAACATTTTTTTTTCTTTCAATTTTATTCACTTTTACTGAGGGGGGAGACAAAAAGAGAGACGGGAGAAAGAAAAACATTGATTTGTTGTTCCGCTTATTCTTTGGTTCTTGTATATGTCCTGACCAGGGGTTGAAACTACAACCTTGGTGTATTGGGATGACACTCTAACCAACTGAACAACTTACCCAGTTAGGTTAAAAAAACATTTTTCTTAATACACACTTCTCTCCCTTCTGTCGAGCCAGGGTTAAAGAGATCACACCTATAGATGAGTGGGACACCAATGAAAAGACAAAAACACCCTGGCCAGGCGGCTCTATTGGTTGAAGCATTGTCCTGTACACCAGACAATTACAGGTTCAATTCCAAGTCAGGGCACATAACTAGGTAGCAAGTTAGATCCCAGGACAGGGTGCATACAGGAAGTTACCAACCCTTGTTTTGATGTTTCTCTCTCCCTCTCCCTAAAACATATACTCCAGTGAGGATTTAGAAAAAAAGACAAAAGCTTTCACAGCAGCTGTTTCAAAGTGGCTCTTACACTTTGTAACTTAAAATGCAACTTAATTCTCTACTCTTAACACATAAAATAGCCCTGCATTATTTTTTACATTATCAACAAAATGTTTTTAAATTTAGTTTTCCCCTAATATAAATGTGTCATTGAAGAATATTTAAATGTATCAAAGTAAAACATTTCCTATAATCCTACTCAAAAATCTGCCCCACCAGTGATGAGCACTTTGCCCCCCTTAAGCACAGCTGACAGGCAAACTGTTTACATCTGAGAATACTAAAAATGCTGAATATTTCTCATTTAAATGTACTCAAAATCCAAACCATGTGCATAATTTCTTCATGTACAGACTGATCACACCACCTGCACTGGTTTATGAGAACCACACCTTAAGAGTGATGCAGCTGACTTATAACCAAACCCAATTTGTATGCCATCATTAACTACACACAACATAAACTCACAGATCATTTACATATGACCTCACTGCTGAACTTACCCAGATCCACTGACAGTGAGGAGAAAATAAAATTTGTTATTTCTTTGGGCTCATAAAATCTGTATTCTTACAGCATATAGCAGAAATAGTCGTACACAGGTTTTATCGTTATTTACTTTATTGTTTTTATTGATTTGAGAGAGAGAAAGGGAAAGCATTGATATGAGAGAGAAACATCAATTGGCTGCCTCTTGCATATCCCACCCCCTACTGGGGATCGAGTCCAAAACCCAGGCATATGCTCTGACCAGGAATCCAATCAGTGACCCTTTTGGTGCACAGGAAGATGCGCAACCGAGCCGCACTGGCCAGGCCATCAGTAACATTATTTAACTTTTAAGAACAAGTTTATTTCAGAAAGATTAACCATAAAGACTTCTGGTTTAATTCAGCTTTTTCTTTAAAGAGGTGAATGGGTTCAAAGGGTTGGGAGAAAACTTTATAATCCATGAATAAATTGCAGCAGTATAACCATGTAGAGTCACCCTGGGTTCAGAATTTAGACCACTGGGCTTGTATTCTAGCCCATCTGTCATGCAGGCATTTAATTACAGGCAAATTATTTTAGCCTCAGTTTCCACAAATAGAAAATGGGCTAATTACTACCTCAGGAATTACAATTAAGCTTCTGTCTGGGTTCTAGCTGTTCAACTATGCACTTACTTTGAAAAAGCTTTATATCCCAGTATACCCATTTTTTTCTTTTTGGTTTGAAGGCTGTCCATTTTATTAATTCAGTTATTTTAATGTTACATTGAATGTGGAGGAAAAACAATTATAAAATCTACCCCAAGATGTAGGTTTGTTAATTTTCATTCAAATTGTATCTCTTTATTTAAAGAGCACAAATACATTAACTTACAAAATTAATGTATTGACTTGAACTATTAATAAGAGATCTGAAGTATAACTAAATTTTTATACTTACACTTTACGATCATTTAAAAGCATCCCGTTCATTTTTTCAATAGCTCTTTCAGCTGCTTCCTGTGTCTCAAAATGTACAAATCCATAACCCTTGGAACCATTTTCATCACAAACCACCTAGGGGGAAATGTATAGCAGTTTTTCATTACTTACTATTAACTCAGCATTTTCCCAATGTTCAAAAGTACCATACAGCTGACCAATGCTGAGAGGATGGAGGAAGGCTTAGGGGAGCTGACACCCAGCAGTCAAAATCTAAATATAACTTGACTCCCCAAATACATATGTATCCCTCAGTATCCCCGCAGAAACCAAAAATCTGTGGCTATATAAAACAGTGTAGAACAATGCATAGTTGGCCCTCTGCATACATGCATTCCCAAACAGACAGAAAACACATCTAGATATTTACTGGGGGGAAAAAACATCTGCTTTTAAGTGGGCACACTGTTCTAATGTCAACTGTAACTTGTCAGTCACCTAGCCTGGGTATTTGGAAAATAAAGATACCCATTAATACACAGTATGGTTGCTATTTTTTAGGAAACATGGTAAATATGTCTATCTGTCACATTGTTGCTTACCTTACATGAAAGGATGTTACCAAAAGCAGAAAACGTATCATACAGTGCTTTATTATCAATGGATTTGTCCAAATTTTTAATGAATATGTTGCCCACTCCACTTTTGCGAAGTGATGGATCACGCTGAGACCACATGATGCGAACTGGCTTGCCCTTTATAACATCAAAATTCATGGTGTCTAAAGCACGCTCCGCTGTAGGAAGGATATTTTCATAGTGAATTATTACTTTAAAACTTTTACAGGCCACTTAAAATTTTATTAACTGTGTGTGGGAGGAGTGATTGGGCCCACCATCTCTCTATTTCTTCAAACTTCATGATGGCTGGACCTTACTCAACCTAGTAGAGATTTAAATTGTCTAACACATGAAGAGGCTTATCAGAAGCCCCAAATTTCCTGTTAATTAATGAAATATCATTGATAATGTACTTCTAAAACAATCTTTCCCTTTAATTGCCATTATATTTAAAAGCACCTTTTTGTTCCTGGTCAACGTAAAATCAAGATCCCTTTTCACATAAAATCTGCTTAATTTGCAATATAAAAGACATTAGGCAATTAAAGATTAACCACAGGCTAAGCATAGTTTATGAATTTTTAAGCATTTTTGCTTCTTCCCTATTGCTTGCCAAAATTGGCCTGTTCATTGGCAGCTTATCACTTACCAACATTAAGCAAAAACCAGTCCATTTTCTTAAAAAATAAAGTCCCTGAATTATTGGGGGGATTTCAGTGATTCATGGCACAACTTCCTATTGCCATGTAAAAAGAAAAAGAAAAAAAAGAAAAGGCTATTATCTATTCAGATCAGGATTTGAATCAGGAGGAAAAAAGATTTGAATCAGGCCTTCAAAAACTAATGTGAAGTTGGGCATACTTAGCTGGATAATACATAATTTGGTCTACAATACTCACAATTCACTATCAATGCTTTCTTGACATATAAAACCAATTTTATCTTAGATCACTTTTGTACTTAGTAACTAATAATTTAACCAATTATTTCTGGATAGTGCTAGAAAATTTCAAAATTTACTCTGATTTCAAGACCTATGAAGAATTATGTGCATTAAAGAAACACTTATTAGAGAAGTTGAGACTAAATTAAAAAAAAAAAATACATCCTTAAGTGAAAAAGACTAGTCCCTTAAGAGAAAAATAGTCCACTTTAAGTTCTACACCAAGTTTCACAAATTCCATGCCAACGTAACTGTAAAGTTGAGGACAAATTTTCTAGTCACTTTTTATAAATTGAAGTTTCATTTTCTAGAAGGTAGTGATAGATAAGCTGTCAATTCATTATCAACTGACCACACCTACTCAGCACCCCTAGTTTTTTAGCTGACTTTGCTTAAGCTTCTTTTGAATGAGTCCTCTTCCTGCTAAATTAGAAACTGGTCACTTTCAGAAGTTATTCTACAAGTCCATTCATGTAGCAATAAATAGGAGGGGGGGAAAAAAGAAACCACTGAACAACTATTTGGAAGGATAGTAATTTGTACATTTAGAAAACAAATAAATGGAAGATGGAAAAATGCTATCTTCTTTTGAGTAGTCCTAGCACTGTTCTATTGATATATTGATAATACACAGGGTATATTTTAACATGGTAATTCAATTTTTTTCAAATCCCAAGAAATTAAAAAAGTTGTTTCTTTGGATTTCAAATAGTTAAGCTTAGAAAAAATGAAAGCCACTTTTCAAGTCACCATTTTCTGGTCTGTAGAATTTGTTCAAGTTTTCTATCAACTTTTTAGATTGTGATTACCTGACCCAAACTTATGTTCCCTAGTATTACTTTCTCTTCTGTTCAGTGATGACTCGTGCCCAGAGTTGCAAAGAACTGGTATGAAGTGACATCTGGAAGCGCTGCTTACAGAGCAAAAGGGCAGGAAACCTGCAGTGCAGTTTTACAACTTCTGGTTCAGTGTCACAATAGTCTGCCTCCCCAAAATCTCAATTATTAACTTGACCCAGTGAAATGCTGATAATTAAGTAACTTGTTATACTAAGTGAATTTAATAAAATAAAGGTTTAAATTCTACTCTGGCTTAAGGCCTTTTCTACAAAATTAAATCCACTGAAGCTGACTTGGAATTCAATTGATCCAGATATAAAGAAAAAACCCTGGCCATATGCATCAGGCCACATATCCCATCTACCAAATTTTGTGTTTTCTTGTGAACTTCAAAATAAAAACACAAGGTTAGAAAAATATTTCCCCGTAAGTCAAGCTAATTAGAATCTGCTATTCAAAACTCTGTCGTTCTTCACGCCTTACGGACATTCTAGGCTGCTTTTCAAAAAAGAAGCCTAAACCACTCCAAGGCCACCTAAGTAATGATGACCCAGTCCACACCGCGTTCACAGGTAACACTTTACAGCCAACACCTGTGAATACATTTTTTTTTAACTAAAGCCCCTCAAAATCATAGGAACTATTTTAGAAGAGAAAAAAACAACAATTATTGTGAACAAATAACCGGTATTACGAAACTAACCTGATTACAAAATTTGAACGATTTAAACTCCCGAGAAAAACGATGGCCTTCCATGGGGCCATCCTCCACCCCACCCCCCGCTGTTGGAGGGAGAAGCGCTTGAACTTGGGGAAAACCCCGGGCGCACGGCCCCCGGGAACGGGCATTTCTGGGGCCGTCAGCCCCGGGCGGGCGGTGAAGAATGGCATCAGGGAGGGGG